GCCCCAAACTGTAGAGTGCTCTCTCTCTCTAGCATATTCTAAGGGGCACGCCCCACCTATTGGTTTTCTCTCTCTCTCTCTCATCTTGCTTTAAATCTAAGGGTTGGGTAGTATTAAGAAGATGACATCCCAGACTAGGTCTTGAGGGTTTGAACATAAGGTTTAAAGTCTTGTGATCAAGAGGAGATCAAAATTCCATTGAAGGGTTTGTCCTAAACTTGCTTTTCCGGTTGAGATTGAAGGTTGATTGTTGATCCTGCGTTATGAGATGGTGGTGACTCGGCATGGGGTGTAATAAACTCGATTGAGGTAATCTCCGACATATCTTTTGTTTTTTGCATATTTAATTATATTGTCTTTTTATATTCCTAAGCATATGAAGTACATGTTATTATATTTGTTTAAATAAAATTGATTTGTCATCAAGGTTTTAAGATCTTATTTTTATTTTCTTTGAAGCATGAGTTATTGTAACAATACTACTTTTAAGTTCTTGTAAGTGATCTTTGCCAAAATAATAAAGGTGAAAAATAAGAAAATAAAAATATACATACCTTGACAATAACATTGGTCTTTCTTTTATAAAAAACTGGACACGAGCTCATACAACAGGTTGGAGCCTCTCTCTTTAGTCTTTCTCAGGCGAGTCCGAGTCACACCTGGCTTTTTTTATTAGGAAATATGATACCATATGAAAATATCACGAGTCTCAAAGTATTTTTGCGTTCGGCCTGGAATCATGTGGCTCACAGCCTCACACATAATCCCAGTTATTTGGGCAATTTCAAGCTTTTAAATCACTGCACCTAACTATATAAAAGATGATATTTGATGAGGAATTTGGTCCTTCACCAAACAACTTTTATGTGTTTCTTTTTCATGTAAATGCACATAAACCACTGAAGCTGCTCAGCAATCAGCATTCACTTCAACCATGTGAACTAGTGAGAGAGAGATTATGCAGTTGTGGATCCGTTGAGATGATTCCTTGAAAGGGGAACTACATGTAAAAATAAAAAAATGTATCAACTAACACACCAAAACCCCATCCTTTTCAAATCTATGCGTGTCTTTAATCTATACTTAAAACACAAATAAATAAATAAATAAAAATAATCAAGGAGAAGAAAGAAAGTTATCCAAATACTTCCAATAATCACAAAAGCCAAATTGTTTAGACTCTTCCTCGCAAAGTATTCTTTGATCATTGTTCTTAACGCCTAATATTATGATCAAGTTGATTCAAAGAATGGTGATGAATTTTCTGTGTGGGTCTTTGGATGGGGTGAAGAAATATCATCTGATCTGTTTAGTTGGGAGAGGGTTTGTACGTAAAAGATGAAGGGTGGTTTTGGCATTAGAAAATTAAAATTGGTGAAAAGGACTCTTTTATCAAAGGGAAAAATTTATATAGAGCCTACCTCAAAACTTTCACTAGAAGAGGTGGTTTTGATGCCCAAATATCCTCAAATTTATCATCTTAGACATCAAGATGCATGGACTTGAAAAAAAAAAATGGATTTCAAGTTTTAAAAATAGTGCATCTTGTAATGCATTTTTGGGCCGTCAAATTTTAAGTTATTCAAGTTTTCATAGATCTGCTCGATCTACACTATTTTTGGAGCTTTAGATTTTATAATAATTAAAGATGAAAATATATTTTTTAAGGCTAGTCAAAGATTTCCAATATTAAAACCATATTTCTCGACACCATTTGAAGGTGGGCTCTAATTTGATTGTTTAGAGCCTTGGCTCTATACAAACCGCACCCTTTATCAAAATGGTGGTGGGGTCCACGGTTGAAAATAAAGGACTTAGAGGAGAGTGTTGGTTGCAAAATATAGAGTGGATCGAAATACCAAACTCATCCGTGGCAGGAGGGCTGGCATAATCTTTCACAGCTTTGGAAGGGTATTCTTAGTTGTAGGGTATTGCGGTGAATTATAGTCGATAGGTAGTTGGAAACGGTGAGAAGATTAATTTTTCGTCAAACAAATGGTTGGATGATAGGCCTTTGAAAATCAAATTTCCTCAACTTTTCTCGAAAATTTCAAATCGTGTGGGAAAGGTGAATGAGATCTATGTTTTTTTTTGTTTTTTGATAAAAGTTATCAAGATATTATTGCAAATACAAGAATTACAAAAGATTTACATTAGTTGAAGATACAATTGAATCACGTGTAACTCCTTTATTTTGCTAACCCATCAGTTAAGGAATTGGCCTCCCTATAAATATGGTGAAAAGATACATTCAAAGATCTTCCCAACTCCAAACTCTGCAACCACAAATGACGGAGCTTCCATGGGATTCGTTGTTCCTTGTTACACTACTTGATCACATTTAACGAATCCCCTTCCACCAAAATAATAGGTCTCAAATTTTTTGAAAAGAAAAATTGAAGACCATAAATCAATACTGATAATTATGTAAGATTAACAAGTGCAACAGCTCCCCATTCTAGTCCCTCAACACACCTCCAATGCTTGCTACTCCTGGGTTTCCCAAGGAGTTACCATCAAAATTAAGCTTAAACCAACCCCTAGATGGTCAGCACCATCAAATAACATGCGTGTTCTTAGGGGAACAAGAAAGGGCTAAATTGGCCAGGTTCATCCTAACATCCACCTCTATAATATCCCCTCCCTCCTTAGTAATCGAGAGCCAGGACCAGCTAGTATGAATAATATTATTCAAAATTACATCCAAAGGCAGTAACTTCCCTTCAAATGTTCGTCTATTTCTTTCCTTCCATACCTCCCAAAGTGTAGCCCCCTACTAATCTTCCATATCATTCTCCCCAACTTAGGTAAACAAGTAAAATCCAGTTGAGAGATAACACCCATGCAATGTTTGGATTGTTTGGATTATACAATGTCTCTATTACAAAATGCATGATTCTTTCATTTCTCAATTAACTGAGCTACTTGAGGAGTTGTAATGGACTCATATTTTGAGAGAGCGAGAAGATGAAATAGTTTAGGAAGAGAAAAGTGATGGGATTTTCTCTATTAAATATGCATATAGATTATTATTTCATGATTGAGTTCAATGGACTAATAGGCATCTCAGTAAGATTTGGAAATGGCATGTCCCCCATAAGGTTAAAAAATTTCTTTCGACCTATATGCAAAATAGATCTCTTACTGTTGATAATATCAGGAAACGAGGTAAAATCCTGATTCACATATGTTTATTATGCAAAAAGGATGAAGAGAATGGGGACCATTTATTTCCCCATTGTGAATTTACAGGTACTCTTTGGAAGTGTGGGCATTTCAATTGTGTGGAATTGCTATGATTTAACCTCAACATCAAATTAATATTGTGGAGCAGTTAGGTGTTTCAGGATCACCAAAGAAAGGGAAATTTATGTGGGATATTATGAGGACTGCAGTGCTATGAGAAGTTTGGTCATAGCAGAATAGAATAACTTTTGAAGGGAAAATTCTATCTATACAGCCAATAAAAGATAAGATCTTAGACACTACATATTTGTGGTTGGTGTGAAATATTGTGATGAAATATATGGCATTCTTTTGGATTTTGTAGACATGTGGGAAGATGGAATCCACTAGCAAATGGCTATATCAAACCTAATTTTGATGGCAATGTATCAAACTTAATTTTGATGGTAGTTCAATGGGAAACTTGAGACTTGCTCCTAATGGAGGAATTATTTGAAAGTCGGATAGCAATATTCATTATTGCTATTTTGGTCCTTGTGGTACAAGTCTACCGCAAATAAAGCTTAAATGAATGCTTTCATTTTTGACCTAAAGGTCGTAAAAGAGCGATAATGGTGGTGTCTAATGGATAGTGACTCCCTAAACGTTATCAATTGGTGTAAGAAAAATTGGAGACCACCTTGGACACTGAGATCTCTATGGTTTGAGATTATGGATTTGTTAGCTAGGTTGTGGGTATATTTTTATCATGTTTATAGAGAGGTCAACCAAATAGCTGATTTTTTAGTTAAACGTGGCGTGAGCAATTCCCATATTGTAGTTTGTGATTCTCTACTACTGTAATTGCTGTGTCTTTTCTCTTATCAATAAAAATTCACGATCTTGTCAAAAAATAAAAAAAATGAAAGTACTTAGTAGTGCCAACCATAATTACTACACCCCTATACTCAATGTACATACTACGTTCAACTTTATCAAAAAAAAAAAACAAATAATATTTTACACTGAGCAAAATAATCAAAAAGCTAATATTAAAAAATCTACAAAGCCATGCTACTTGGTTATATAGGGCTGACTTTATAAGGATGGTATGCTATAAGAGGAACATCTCCGGTAACAGTAAGTCACAATCATCATTTCTCAGATCCATTTGATATAATTATTTGGATTAAATCATAAAGTTTGAAAAAATTTTATTTAAATTTTATATTTAATTAATAACATTTTATTTATTTCATATCCAACTGCTACAAATAATTGGCCACCTTCGATCATGATAAATAATAATATTATTACATACTTTTCGAACCCTAATTCATGTTCGATGTTAGACCTTCTGCTCAGTACAAGAAACCATTGCTTAAGGAGCTACTTTTCAGCATATCACTGGAGTTTTCAGGCGCGTTATCCGACTTGTTCCTGGACTTCTCTGGAGAATTTTCTAAATGTTTGTCACTTTTCGAGAATTTCTTCGCGATTTTTGTGAAGAAATTTCAAAGAGCTGCGGGCCCTCTTTCAACAATTTCCGAGCTACTTTCCAGGCCTTATCCAACTTTTCTGTCCATCTTGCGGGGACTTTTCCAACTCCATAATCATTTTCCGGTGAATTTCCTGGAAAATAATGCCAATTCGGCAACTTTTTCTACTTAGCTAGACTTTTCCAGTGAGTTTTCGCAAAAATAATCCCAATTCAGCAACTTTCACGACTTAATGAGACTTTGCAGGCGAGTTCTGCGGTAATAATACCCATTTGCAGCAACATTGCCGGCCTCCACAGCAATTTAATCGGACTTTTTTGGGTGTCTCCTGGCAAAAAATCATTTATTTCCGGTCAAATATTCGGTGTCAATAGGCATTTCCGGGCGGTCTTATCCAGACCAACCATCATTGTCCGGCGAATTTACCGGCCAAAAAATGGCTAAAATTTCCCCATTTAAACCTAACGATGCACAGCTAAAGGAACAAGTTCAGAGAGTGGCGTGGGAATCGGCGTGGGAATCGGCGAAGGAATCGGCGAATTTCTACAGACGGGGCACGATCCATTGAGCCTCAGCCAGCCGTCGATGCAGGACACGTGGAAGCAGTGCAGGCAGTCCGGCACCCACCTGATAACTTCTCCTTTCCTGAACTCGCCCAAACAAATCGGACATCCATCGTTTACTGGCCTCGGAATATCCTGCGCTCGCCGGAAAACCACTCGCGGAAAACCGCTTATGCTTTGCTCATCTAGCCCGGTCATAATAAAGTGGTTTTCCGGCGTTAGAAAATCTGGAACAGTGGCCTGAAAGGAGGAATCAGCAGTATTCCGGCTCGACCGGCCCTTGACTTTGACGCAGGCGTAGGAGGCGAGCATAATGGTGGAGACCAGGACGAGGAGGCCCACGGCTATGGCGATTCCATAGCCCAGGCCCACCTTTGTGGTGGTTTCAGTAATAGGGAGAGAGGAGTTCCAGACCATTGTTTTTTTTGGAGAGAGAAACTAGTTGGGCAGAAGCCATGAGGAATATCGTTCAAGAGTGAGAAACATAATTATAGAGTGAGAGGAGTTCCAGACCATTGTTTTTTAGAGAGAGAAACTAGTTAGCAAGAAGTCATGAGAGATATCATTCAAGAGTGAGAAACATCATTCTAGAGTGAGAAGAGTTCCACACCATTCTTTCTAGAGAGAGAAACTAGTTGATTCGCCGGTTAAGGGAGAGAAGTCACGAGGAATACCGTTCTAGAGTGAGGAATACCGTTCTACAGTGAGAAACATCATTCTAGAGAGAGAGGAGTTCAAGGCCAGGCCATTTTTTTAGAGAGAGAAAGTAGTTGGCTAGTTAAAGGAAAGGAATCACAAGGAATATCGCTCTAGAGTGAGAAACATCATTCTAGAGTGAGAGGAGTTCCAGACCATTCTAGAGAGAGAAAGTAGCTGGCGAGTTAAGGGAGAGGATCCTGAGAATTATGGGAAGAGAAGAGTTCCAGACCATTGACAGAGAGAGAGAGAGGTAAGAGAGAGAGGCGAAGAAGTGGTCGTCTCAGTTGAGAGAGAGATGTAGAGAGAGAGAGACGTATTGACAAAATTCATTTAGATTGAGAGATCAGAAAATGGTAGGTTCCGCATGAGAGAGAGAGAGGAAAATGGGTAATGATTTCTGTTTAGGTTAGACAGCAGTTCCAAGACCATTTAGAGAGAGAGAGAAGAAAATGGGTATTACTGGTTTTTGTGAATAGAGAGAGAAAGAGATAAGAAAAGGGGTATTACTGGTTTTTGTGAATAGAAAGAGTGACGAAAATGGGTAAGTATTACTGGTTTTTGTGAATCGAGAGAGAGAAGAAAATGGGTATTACTGGTTTTTGTGAAACGTTGAAAGGAGGAATGTTGCAGGTGATATTATGAGAGAGAGAGAGAGAAAAGAAAATGGGTAATGGTTTCAGTTCAAGTCAGACAGCAGTTCCAATACCATTTTTGTAGAGAGAGAGAGAGAGGGTAATGCTTTTTGTTGGAGAGGTAGAGAGAGAGAGAGAGTGGATAATGGTTGAGAGGGAGCAATGGTGCAGGTGATATTATGGGTGGGGAAATTTTAAAAAAATAGTACTCGAGGGGTTTGGTTTTCAAACTCTATCGAATGGGGTGATTTTTGAGCCATGGGGCCAGGAGCCGTGGCGAGTTTCACGGAAGCAATTAAGTGAGAGAATTAAATGAGAGGAGAAAAATATGGTTGCTCTCTCTCTCTCCTCTCTCTTCTTTCTCTCTCTAAAAAAAGACGGTGCTCACTCCTCTCTTTTCTTTCTCTCTCTAGAAAAAAGATGGTTGCTCTCTCTCTCCCAAAAAAGATGTTTCCTCTCTCCTATCTTCTCTCTTTCTCTCTCTAGAAAAATGGTTGCTCTCTCCTCTCCTCGTTGCTCTCTCTCTAGAAAAAAATGGCTCTCTCTCCTCTCTCTAAAAAAAGATGGTTGCTCTCTCTCCTCTCTCTAGAAAAAAGATGGTTGCTCTCTTTCCCCTCTTCTCTCTCCAGAAAAAAGATGGTTGCTCTCTTTCTCTCTCTTCACTCACTCTCACTCTCACTCTCATTGGAGTGGGGATGATGACATTGGATCAAGGTGCAGCCACATGGTTTTTATTCCAGAAATCAAGGACCAAGTCTCCAGCTCACATTTCTAAAGATTGCGTACGGCTTCAGATGAGTCTTTATTGGAGGAGTGAGGTTTGTATAGGGCCACACCAATAAAATTTATTGGGGGTATGGTTTGCATAAGGTAGCCCTAAAGAATCAAATTCAGATATTTTTAAAGGAAAAAATTGAGAGAGAGAGATGAGTTTGAGTTTTAGGGAGAGAGTTTTGAGAGAGAGAATAGATGATGTGAGAGAGAGTTGGGAGTTTTTGATTTTAAAAAGAGAGTTTTGGGAGAGATAAAATTATTTCATAAATTGTTGAAGTCAATAATACATGGTCAAAAGAGTTTAAAGGGTTGAAAGATAGAAAAGATGAGTCATTTTGCTTACAAGTAATATTTTTAATTTTTGAATCTAATGAGATATAAAAGTTAAAAATACGGAATAATAGGATATTTTCCCTTTCAAAAATAGTATAAATGGGGCATATATGTAAACACTTGAAAATATTCAAAACTGATGGCCTAGATAATACATTACAAAATGCATTATTTCTCAAACTTGAAATCCATTATTTTCACGTCTATACATATCGAGATTGAGATGATCGATTAGAGGGTTTTCGACATCGAAACGACTTCTTCTAGTGAATTTTTTAGATTCGGCTTAATTTGAATGTTATATGACTCAACCTTATATAAACTTTTTTCGAGTTTATATGGATATACAACAGCTTCAAATCTAATTTTATCTCTAGTTATGAAATTTAACATTTTTAAAATAGTACAATTCGAAAACATCTATAAATACTAATTTGTTTTTTTAAATAGATGATCTAAATAACTTATTACAAGATGCGTCATATTTAAGACTTGAAATTCATTTTTTCTTCATATCCATACATCTTGAAATCAAGATCATCAATAGAAAGGTTATCCAATAGTCCAATTTCATAATTCTCTTTCTGGATATTCAATGTCAAAATTGTCTTCTAATAATTTTTAATATGCACCTTCCTTAAATACTATAAGGTTGCAACCTTATGTAAACTACCACAAAGAGATCCACCAGTTATTTTCTGGGTAGTTGTATAATAGGATCCAAACTTTAGATGTATCATTGCTGCTAACAACTCAATCCCAGACATGTTGGAAGCGATCGTGATAAACTACCAACGCATCAATATATCAGCCAATGAACTTACTCCAATGAGTCCATGGTGTCGGGTCCAGCCTGGCTTAGTAGCCACTAGATCATGCCTAAGTGCATGGCCCAGGGCTGAAATCTACCAGCTTGGACCGGGCTGGCCTAAGACAGGTGATGGCCCGGCCCAGCTTGCCACACCATTTTTATATTTTTTCTATAAATTTATTAAAAGATAAATTTAATGTCTTCCCAATCTCACAAGGCACAATAGGGCAATAAGAAATTGGAGGTAGCTAAAAGGCGACTACTTGTGACATTCCAACGAAAGTAAAAAAGTTTGTATGTACACCACCTTAAGGAGACCTTAGGGTCTTTTTTTTTTTTTTTTTTTTAGGGGGTAATTCACACATATCCCTTCTTTTTTTTTCCAAATAGTTTAAGAGTTAGTCTTTTTATTTTATTTTTTTGGCAATTCACACATATCCCTACCTACTTTTTCAAATAGTTTAAAAGTTAGTCATTTTAAGGTGTAGTGGGTATGGATGTCATAATGATTAGGGTGTGGAGTGCTACCACCACGACTTCAACCCATTTCCCACAACCTCATGATGCAGCAGTGAGCGAGTGATAAACACCTCATGTTGGGGCCGCGTCTACATAAAAGAACATAAAATATAACATTACATATTTTATAATACATAAACTAGGGTAATTGTGAGTGTGTGTGTTCGCGTGTTGGGGTGTCTCTAACCCAACAAGGTCTGAGATGTACCCGAACCCGACCCGCTAGGTAACGTCTCTAACCCAAGGGACATCCCAACTGTAGGCTTGGACGATCGACCCGTCCCGATTGACACTCTATATTCAATCGCTTACCCTGTCGCATTTAGGGAAGGGTAAAATGCCAAAAAAAAAAAAAAAAAATCCGTATCATCTATACTACATTATTAAGTCGGGCAGACACGTCGCAAGAATTAAAAAAGAACCCACCCTCGTAGAAAATGTAGGGCAAATTCCCTAGAAATAAAATGGGTTTAGGGCAACAATTTATCGTATATTTATATTTGTTAAACAAAAAAAATCTCATTTTCTTAGGAAAGAAACAAATACAGTTTATCCTTTTACTTGACTTATTTCTCTCTCATGTCTCAATTGTAGAGATAAGGTTATCCAAAAAGGAAAAATTATCAAGATAACCACAAAATTTAGGATGCCCCATGATCATCAAGACAATAGAGAGAGTTTAGCCAAGGAAAGAGAGATCACAATAACCCACAAAAAATAAACGTCCTAGGATTTTCATAAATTTTAAAAAAGAAACCACGTGATATATTTAGGATACAGGTAAGATAAAAAACCTTTCGAATATCTTAGGGATAAAAATGTATGATAATTTTCTTTTCTCACCTACTTATACCTATTATTAAGGAAACTTGATACATACAACATTATTAAGCCGCAATTAAAGGGTGAATACATGTCGTAAAAATATAAAAAAACCCCACCCTTTAAAAGAATGTAGGGCAGATGCTTCATAAATAGAATGGGCTCAGGACAAACAATTTATAGTATATTTATATTTGCAAAAAAAAAAAACTCATTTTCATAGGAAAGAAAGAGAGTTTAACTTTTTTCTTTATTTATTTCCATCTCATGTCTCAATTGTAGAGACAAGGTCATCCAATAAGGAAAGATGATACAGAACCACAAAATTTAAGATGCCCTAGGATACCAACACAAAATTAAGCATGTCCTAAGATACTCATAAATTTTAGAAAATAAGCCATACGATATATTTAGGAAATAGGTACGATAAAGTCCAGTTTATAAAGGAAACTTGGTTGCGCAACAAGTTTTTAGATGTAGGATTGAATTGGTTACCAAATACCATCAGATGGAGACTTCAGAGAGAGAGAGATACCTAACAAACATACTCGAAAGCATCTGTTTGTCATGGTTTTAGATGATCCAACTAATTAAATCTAAATAAATTTTTTCTAATATAAACATCATCATCTTTTTTTTAACTAATTAGATTCAACTACACAAATCACAATCCACCATTCCACTCAACTTAACAACCATACTCTCAATAAAGATACAAGTCCCTGTATCTTTCCTTCCTACTACCAACCATCTCCTCTTGGACCTACCCTTCATCTTTTTATAATCTACAAACCGTCAATAAGGCTATCGGTCTATATATCTTTTTTTCTTACTTCTAACCATCTTCTCTTGAGACCTACCCCTTATCCTTTTATAACCATCTTTTCTTGGGGCCTACCCCTTATCCTTTTATAACCTTCCACTCGAAGTCACGCTCATCTCCTAACAGGAGTTGTATCTCTTAGTTTTTTGTTTCCCTTCCTATAAATGTTTTCCATCCACATCCTTTCTTCATAAGTCCATAAGATATTTGGATACAGATAAATAGAAGTTCTTTTGTTGTTCTTTTTTAATTTTAGTAAGAAGTTATAGAAAGACACAAATAGAAGAGAAATGAGAATGGAAAAGACAAATTCATGAGGGGCGTAAGAGATCTCTCCCTTCACACATCCTCGCATAGTTTTCCCTCTTCCCCATCTCATTGTACTTTCCCCCTCCACATCCCATTGTGCTCGACAAAGCTCGTATACATATTTAATAGCATGTCATTTTATCTATATTGTTTTTTTAACTTAAGAGAACATGCTTATTATTATGTAATGCACTTGCAATGAATAAAGCGTCTAGGTAGGATGAAACTTTGAAACCATTTTTCTCAAATTGAAATTTTTATCTGCCCGCTTGCAGTGTTCTATTATAATTGGATTTTTATTTTTTAAATCTTTTGAGGCATAGGCTAATTATCTCTGATTTTCATAACAAGCATTAAAATTTCTCAACAACTCACAATCAAATGGACTTGCACATCATTAATAACCCCTAAATCAATTGAAAGAACATTAATTCCTCATACACTTACAAGATTGGACACAATCATCCCTTCCAATACATTCAAAATCAAGCAGCCATGAGTATAATTATCCAAGTTCAATTATTTTTATTTTTTTTTTGATAATTTGTCCTAGTTCAAAGTTCAACAGAAAAATTATATCCTTGGGACACATCAAGCAATCAAATTTCTCACCTCACAGCTAAAATGATTGTTATTCGTGCCCATTAGTAAATTTTCCTGAAGTATACAATACCGTGATATAATTCCTCCACCGAGTCATTCCTCTATGGAACATCCCGGGACTAGAAAGCTTTTGTTTTTTAAAATGGGGAATTTACATCGACCATCGACCATACCTACAAACATTGTTTAAAAACCCAGATCGGTCAGGGAGATTGGTCAGGAGAACCAGCCATCCAAAAAACCGGTCCAATCATCAAATTGCTGAACAAGATCCACGATCCATCAAATAATATCAGCCGATTGAAAAAAAAAAATTGAAGACAAATTAAAAAAAAGAAAGATACATTAAAACTAAACAAGGGGAGCCAGGCGATTAGGCCCAGCCCGAATTGCCTATTTTTTAACAGAACAGGTCGATTCCCACTTTTGACACCACTGATTCCTAATTGGGATCAGCAGTCGGATTCAAATCCGCGTTTTTTAAAAACACTGCCTACAAGAAAACATCAACAATGTGGTCACAAACCATACCCTCCAAATCTGTACTTTCGCAACAGAAACACCCCACATGATGTTTTATTTGTATTTTGAACCAAATATGTAATTAGAAAGCGAGAAAATTATCAGTTACCATTGACAACTACACAATGTAATATTTACCCATACCATTTCATATAATCTCAAAGCACCCATAAAAAAGCACATTTTCATTTAATTTCAAAACGCCCATAAAAAAGTATATGGCTTCCGTAGAACATTGTACAGATCGCAATGAAAGCTAGAAGTTTTGCGAAAAAGCAAAATCCCTCGGTAGACCCCTTTAAAACACACAGAAAATTAGGAACCTCTGCAAATATGAATGCTCTCTCTCTCAAACAAAACCCACTTTTCACCCCCAATCATCAGTGAATCCCGGTAGCAATTACGCCGAGATAACCCTAAACTCCACAAACCCATCAAAATCTAAAAGAGATATACACTCACTCCAAGAATCATCACTCACAATCCAATCCATTCTTAATGAGAACTATGAACTCTATCTAAACGAAGAAAAATCCCAAAAGTTGGTGAATCCACCAAAATTCGCACACAAGGATTGGTCCTGAATCTCCAAGACCAGACACCAAAAGCCACGAAAACAGGCCCAGACACCAAAAACAACAAGAAACCAAGTAAAACCAGGGTTTACAAGAATCCTGACCATGAACCCTCAATGATCATGTCCTGTTTTCAACCAATTCCCTAAAGAGCTTATTTTTCATGGTTCTCTGCAACCAAAGATGGCATAAAATGTTTTCTCCCCATATAGTTACCCCTCGCTCTCACTTTTTTTTTGCTCGGGGGGGGCGATAAATAATGAACAAAGCCACCATCATATTGGATTTCAAACCATATGAATTTTTCAA